GCTCTATCTCGCACGACATTAGCCACTCTCGCGCGGGCTAGGGCGCGGCCTTTTGGCTTGGGCTCAGCATCACTTGGACCGAGTAGGATACTTGGCTAGGGCGTAACTTGTGGCTCAATAAGGAACTAAAATACTAAGGAAAATTTATCCATGCATGCTCAGACAGGACTTGAGCATTCTCGGCATGGTTTGGTCTCAATTCACGGCACTAGGGCGCAAGGGCTTGAACCCTTGCACGAACTCGGTGCGGGGTTCCTCGTAACCGAGAGACTTGGTCTAGGGATTGATAAAATGATCGACTCATACTTAGAAAATATTCAAAGTAAGGCTATGAGCTCAACTAGGGCTCGAACAAAACTCGGGACTATTAGGGCTCGAGAATTAGCTAGGCGCGAACTAGGCGCGATACTCGTGACCGAACGACTCAGTTCCGGACACGGCTACACTTGGACGATTTATCGAAACATACTCGGTTTGATTATTCGTCAACTGAAAATATTAATTCCGAATGAATATAATCCATTGCTAAAATAAATGGACCAGAATTAATAACTGAAATTGAATAGTTGATAACTGGGCTCGGAACTCAAGATGAGCGGTATTAATAAAAAGAAATAGTTCAACTTGGTACTAAAAACTGTCATTTTTATTAATACAGAACTGGGCTATTACATTTAAGATCATTTTGATAGGGTAAAATCAGTTCACATTCCATATTAGATGTCTGCCAAAGTAATAAGTCCCAACTTATGCATGTCTAACTTCATACGAGCACAACTCAAGCTACAGAGCACGTATCGACATGAAATTTAACTCATTTGAAAGGCAAAAAATAGATCTATAACTTTCATGAAGAGTATAAGCTCATACGAGCACATTATGCCAGACAGAGGATGAACTCGACGGAGCTCGCTGGTTGCTTTGGCGGACGTCGGAGGTCTCGTCGTTGGAAGTTCGAGGGAAGGAGCTGCTCACGGTGGCTAACGGCGGTTGCTCAATGGTCGTCGCGGAGGAGCTGCAGGGAAATCTCGTCGCCGGAGCTCGTGGTGTGCTCGAACTCGCCGGAAAAATGCGAACGGGGTCGCCGGAGATGAAGGAGATAACGAGAGGGTGACAGGAAAAATCACGACGAGAAGGCGAGAATGATAGATGAGGACTGACGATGATGATGGCGATGAGGGTCTGAGGCGAGGGAGCTGAGAGATTAATATTTAAGAGAAAGAAACCACATGCTCAAAGAGGGATTCTCGGATCGGTGAGATGTTGTTTCATGTGGAGGGATACATACAAAAATTGTATCTATACGTTAATAATTCATGTTGACTTCTTCATTAATCACAAGAGAAAACCCATATACACACACATCACACGAATTTGAGAAATCCGGTCTTGGGCTAGTTTAAGCTCGCGTCCGGTTTGATTCACGCGGGTATACTCGGGATCGATAAATCGCATAATAAAATAAATAAAAACCGAGAAAATATTTATTTAATACATACATATTTTTTTTTAAAATACATAATTTTAATAATAAACAATCTCAACTAATCCCTTTCTAAAATAAACGGACCAGAATAAAATTCTAACACTAACCCAATTACTGAATAGAATTTAACAGAGAATATAATTATATTATCCACCTAATAATATAATATATATAATCACATAATCAAAGAAAATAAGAAAAATCTAATATTCAAATGGGGCTTTATAAAATAAATGACAAATAATAATATCCAATTATTCCGGAACAAATGGGGTGCTACAATCTACCCACCTTAAAAGAAATTCCGACCTCGAAATTCGAAAATAAAACAAAGCTAAACCACTAGAAATACATCGAATACAAAGGGGATCAAAAGACGAAGTTCGGATAACTCCTCCTAATACCAGCCTTGGAATTCGAAAACCAAGGAAACTAACGAACTACAAGAATACAAAGGCCTCTAAAACGAGAGGGTCGGGAAACTCCCCCTAATCTCAACCTCCTTCTCTCAAGTCGTCTCGGACTTGTCATGTCAGCTCCACTGCACCTTCCCAAGGCTCACTGCCCGGTTCTCAGCTGATGGACACTCTGGTCCAAAATGGCCACCGGTACCTCCTCATAGGTAAGGTCTCGCTCGACC